ATATCAGTTATATGACGATGTTTTTAAAATGTGGTTGCAGTTAGGAATTATTGAAACAGCGAAAAATACTACTATCAACTGTGGACATTACCTACCACATAGGCCGGTGATAAAAGAGCAAAGTCTCACGACGAGTATTCGACCCGTTTTTGATGCTTCAGCTATCGATAAAAACGGTCTTAGTCTTAATAAGTGTCTAGAAAAGGGTAATAACTTAATTGATAAAATACCCAATTTAATCAATAATTTTAGAGTCGGAGTCATAGGGATGACAGCCGACATTGAGAAGGCTTTTCTTCAAATAAGTCTGGCAGAGCCTGATCGAGAATATTTGAAGTTTCTTTGGTTTGAAGATGATACAATGACGAAATTAGTCACATATAGACACTGTAGAGTCGTATTTGGGCTCACATCTAGTCCATTTTTATTATCAGCTACATTACAATATCACCTTAATTATATGGAGAATGGACCATTAGGTGGTACAGCGAAACTATTAAATAAATCATTTTATGTTGATAACTGTTTGATTAGTGTCGATACAAAAGATGAGGCTGTTTCTGAAGCCAAAAGGATTATGCAAGTTGGTAAGTTTAATCTTAGAATGTGGGTATCTTCTGAAGGGCTAAATGAGGTTGGTAAGAGTGTGATTTCTATTTTGGGTTTGAATTGGAATGTAGTGACGGATGAGTTATGTTGCAATTGTAGTAGTCTTCCTACATTCAGCGAAATTGAAGGAATCACAAAGCGTAAACTTTTGTCTGTGGCTCAAAAGATATTTGATCCGATTGGTTACACATCCCCAGTTGTTTTGACGCCTAAACTTCTTCTGCAAGAGGCGTGGCAACGACAGATACCATGGGATGAAAAATTACCCTCAGATTTGTTTATGAAGTTTCAAGACTGGTATCAATATATAAATTTTATAGGTGAATGTTCTATACCGAGACGGTTGTCGGTGGATATTTTGAGTGAATGTAGTGTTAGTTTTCATTTATTTTGTGACGCTAGTAAAAGAGGATATGGTGCTTGTGTCTTAATAAGGTCTGAGAAGGATAAGAAGGTGTCAGTTCAGTTAGTGGCCGCTAAATCGAGGGTAACCCCGTCACAAAATATGACTATACCTCGATTGGAGCTCACTGCTGTATTGATAGGATCTCGACTACTGGCTAATGTCAGAGATAGTTTACAACTGTCTAACTGTTCCGAATATTGCTGGACAGACTCTGAAGTTGCTTTGTGTTGGGTAAAACGCGAGCTTTCTCTAAACACATTTGTAGGCAACAGAGTGAAAGAAATCCGGCGAAACACAAATATTTGTGACTGGTACCATGTTCCAGGAGAACTAAATTGGGCTGACCTGGCATCTAGGGGATGTAACGCGAAAAAGTTATTTGAATGTCGCTGGTGGGAAGGACCGTCATGGTTACGATTACCACCAGCAGACTGGCCCCACTCGGAGTTAGTCGTAAACGAAAGAGAGGTACTTGCTGAAACAAAAAAGACAGTTTGTAATATAAATGTAAACACGGATGAGAATTTTATTTGTAGATTGCAGAAATATTTTTTCAATATATTCAAAGACTATTAGAATGACTGCTTGGGTACTAAGATTTGCATATAATATTAAAAATATTGATAATAAACGGAAAGGAGAATTAACATCAAAAGAATTCGAAAAGGCCGAAGAGTTTATTATAAAACTTATACAATTGGTAAACAAGGAGTACTTAGATAAATGTTCAGGAAATTTAGTAACATTTAAAGACAGTGACGGAGTGGTTCGAATTAAAACGAAATTGTTATTATCAGATTTTCCCGAGTCTATGAAATCTCCATATTTATTACCAGCGAGAGATCCAGTTGTACTTATGTTAGTGAGACAACGTCACCTTCATTTACAACATGCTGGTGCAAATCAACTTATTGCAGATATTCGGTCTAGATTTTGGATCATTGGCATACGAAGGCTCGTGCGACAGGTTATCATGTCCTGTGTTGTTTGCAAGAGACACAAAGCGAAGCCAACTATAGCTCCTGTTGCACCATTGCCTCTGGAGCGCGTGACATGCTCAGCTCCATTTCAGACGACTGGTGTCGATTTAGCAGGTCCATTATTTTTACGAAATGGCAAAAAGTGCTGGATTGTCTTATTCACATGTGCCGTTTATCGTGCTGTTCATTTGGAGATCGCGATATCACTGTCGACAGAAGATTTTATAATGGCTCTGCGAAGATTCATAGCGCGACGTGGGCGAATTAATATGCTTAACTCCGACCAAGGAACAAATTTTCACGGCACGAAGAATTTAATGGCTAAATTAGACTGGAATGACATACAAAAATATTCTACTGTGAAACGTATCACGTGGAAAATGAACGCACCCGCAGCTCCATGGTGGGGCGGTTATTGGGAGCGATTAATTAGGATAATGAAAGACTTACTTCGTCGAGTCTTAGGTAATGCAGCAGTTTCACATGAAGAGTTACATACCATTATATGTGACTGCGAGGCTACTATGAATGGACGACCACTTACTTTTATAAACGATGATAAGGCTGAATATTTGGAACCTTTAACACCTGCTTATTTTATACAGCCAATTTCAAGTTCTAATGTTGTGGATCTTGATGAGATCGATAGAACGAACCTAAATAAGCGCTTGAAATATTTGCAGGAACTGCGTGATCAATTTCGTCAGAGGTTTAAGGCGGACTATCTTGCTTTTCTGGTGCAGAAAGGTAATGAGAAAAAAGATAGGATTGAAAAGGGAGATATCGTTTTAGTCGAAGCAGATGGAAAACGGATTAAATGGCCTCTAGCAATAGTGGAAGATTTACTTCCAGGTATTGATGGGGTTGTGAGGACGGCGAGAATCAAAACAGCATCTGGGGTGAAAGTAAGAGCCATTCAGAGACTTTATAAGTTGGAAATATCAGGTGAGGATCGAACCTTATTAAATTCAGTCGACCCTGCAGGCGAAAAAGAATCAGATCACACAGCAGACTCTACTAGACGTGGGGTGACAGTCCATTCAACGAAGACTACGCGTCTCGGCAGGAAGGTAAGACTCCCAAGTAGGTTCGATGTATACGTTTAAGTTATTGTTTTATTTTATTCCATAAGTAAGATTATCACTATTTATTAATTGTAAAATGAAGTTGTTTTCTTTTAATTTATTTTCAATAAGAATAAAGGTTGTGTTTTAAGTTTGTCTGTCAAGGAAGTATTAAGTTATAAAACTTATATTGATGAAATGTAGGTACTTGCAGAGTTATGAATTTAATGAAATTGTTATATTTTAAAGTCTGTATGTTACCTTAATAAATATTATATATTATTTTTATAATTAAATGACGTTAGCAACGCCCTTTGTAACTCGAATTTCAAAAGAAGGTATTGTAGTCATAGAGATGTTATTCATTGCTTTGTTATATTATTCTGAGATTCATTTGGTGATTTATTTTATATTTAAGATTTTTTTGCCGCTCAGAGGATGTTGTGAATTAGTATAAAACTTTTTAAAGAGGATTATAGAAAAATAAATTTCTGACGTTTTCTTCTTCTTTGATGTCAGTTCGAAAGAAATGGTGGTTTTTTTCTAATATTTCAACATTCAGCGTCCCTTTAAATTTAACAGTATGTGTTTTCATCCCAAATGGTCTGTCCAGCTTACTCTATGGTTTGTTTGTCATTTTGTGTTATGTCATACAAAAATAAGAGGTCCCTTTTGACACTTCAAAAATACGATAGAACGAACATGGTACGTAATCGATTAATGGGAAATAAATTATTATGATGCAAATTGATAAAAAGATAGCATATGTTTAAAATGAAAGCGTTGTAGTACAACATATTCTTGAAGTTAGAATATATTTTATTATTAATATATTGATTATAAACTATCATTATTAGATTATATAATTAATATTAATGCTTTCAAAATGTTAAATTAAAATAAGAAAGTTTAACGATCGTGGCTTTCTTATGCTCGATAATATTAAAATGAAAATGCTACAATTTTGATTCTAATATAAAATTAATGAAGATCATAAGTTTGAGCTTAAAACGAAAAACGCACAATTGTGTATGTGAATAAAAATACTGTACTGGAATATTTTCCGCAACAGTATTTGTATGTTTGTATACATTACACTACTGGAAATCGTGTTAGTTTCACATATATAGACATTATAATCGTTAATTAAAAATAATCGGTAAACTGTTATCGAATGTTTGTTACTATTGATTGACACATGTCAAAGTAATAATACATCTATAATAAAGTGGTACTTGGACTCGGTATTTAAGCCATCTTTCATTCATTTCATTTACCACCATCAACTCTGGCTGATCGTTCCCCTTCAGGGAGTCAGCTGTAGCCCCCCGGGGTTAACGGCTAACATCTCGATGTTACAATTCATGTAAGTGAATAGAGACGTCTGCGCCGCCCCCCCTCTTGCGGGAGGGCGGTCGCTCCGGTCGAAGGTTCGTTGCCCCTTCAGGGCACGCAATCAACTATCCAACTCTGCGTTGCCAGAAGGTTACTTTTGTAACCTTTTAGGTGATTTTTAACTCCTTGAGGTTACTTCGAGGTTACACGACACAAAAGGTAACTTTGTGGTAACTTTTAAAATTGCGCGGAAATGCTTTTCTATGTTCCCACCAGGGGCTTGTATCTACCTAGTCTGTGACAGGAAGTGCAACCACAGAATCAAATCAAACATACTCTTCAATCGTCCGATTCGCTCGATTAATCGTCTAAAGTTAAATACGCGATTCACTATCTTACCACCTGATGTTTTGTCCCAATTTTGGCCGCGAGCAGACTTATCTTGGGCGGACTCTATCTTCATTCATTCATTCCTCCAGTCAGTTTATTTATTATATTTTAAACTGTGCACTTGCATTATTGTTTTATCAGCTACAATATTGCAAAATCACTGACCCCTACAAATTAGAGTACTGTAATCCACGGTTTTTCATACCGCTTGAAAAAATGTATCTAGGCGTGTCCACTCAAGAATCCATTATTGAAATTGAAAAAGAAATTCCAGCACCTAAAACGCAGATAACTGATTTTAGAAAATCATGTTTGCCGTTTTATATCGAAGCAATCAAACAGATCACACAACGTTTTATCTTTTCGGACCCACTTTACGACATAATCGAACTAGTCACAGATCCTCAAAAAGCTCAATCATTTGAGACAAAAGACCTTACTTTTGTCGTCAATAGATTTCCATATTTAAGAAACGATTTAGATCTCGAAGAGCTAAATAAAGAATGGAAAATGCATGCACTGTTAGATTTTACTCATTTAAATTTGTCTCCGAATCTAGAAATACTCGATTACTGGAACAATGTGTTTAGGTTAAAAAAAAGTTCAGGAGAGCCTCAGTTTCCATGTTTAAAGAAAGTTATAATAATGCTTTTGCTGGTCCTACCCTTTTCAAACGCCAGCGTGGAACGCGTTTTCAGCCAGCTCAAATTGATTAAATCGGACCATAGAAATAGGCTTGCCACGGAAACAATATCAGCTTTGATGGCTACCAAAGCAAATATTCCAAATGCCATGACATTTGAGCCAACAAAGCTGATGCTGAAAACTAGAATAAAATATAAAAAGGATGGGGAAAGCGAAGAAGGTACTAACTGATTACTAATTCATTGATTTTTACTTTGTACGTAATAGTAAGAAAGCCATGTGATCTGTAAGAAAGGTCCTCGTGATCTATAATTTTTGTTTATTTGTGAATCTATTGTCTTTAATTACAGGTGTTCAGAAGAAGTAATTTTTATACTTAATAGCAACTTAAATATGGATAAGAAACTTTTAAATGCCTACCCATAAATACGTAAGTATTTTTTTATGCTTTTGAACATCTAAAATGTAAAAGGTTACTTTTCCTGTAAAAAGGTTACTTTTTTGCACACCGCAGGTAACTTTTGACAAGACCTCGCTGGCAACACTGATCCAACAATCAGTAGGAGCGGGACTTTTTGGCGGGAAGTCAAATAGAGCGGCAGCTTTAAAATTTCCTGTTATAGTAAATTAATCTTTTATTGGTTTTTGTTGACTAAAAACATCGTAATATTGTTGTTTGTCGTCGAGGATGGGTTCCCACAGCGATGGGGAGGACCTAGCAGCAGAAAAAAAGAAGAGAAAGTATGGAGTTATATCCAATGACACAAGTAAGAAACAAAATGATAAATATAAAATTTACACCAAACCGAACTACAAAAGGCTTTTTTCTGAAAATAACACAGGAGAATTCACCGTGTACGTTGAGTCCACGGAACAAGAAAAAATAGGAAATAAAAATCCTATTACCTTGACGAAATTATTTACTGAACATGTTAAAGGTATAACTGGCGTACACAGAGTAAACGCACACAAAATTGGAGTTTCTTTTAAAAAAGCTTCCTCGGCAAATTATTTCCTAAAAATGGAAGACTTTTTATACAAACATAAAATGAAGGCGTTCGTACTATCTTATCTCACAGAAAAAATCGGCGTACTTAAGTTTGTCCCTAAAGATATGTCGAACGAGGAGATATATAAAAACATCGTATGTGACGCAGAAGTGATCTCCATCAAACGATTTATGAAAAAATCTAACGATACCCTCACACCTCTGACCACAATTGCCGTTACATTCGCAACAACATCCTTGCCTCAGTATGCGTATATACAATTATTCAGATACCAAGTACACCAGTACGTACCTCCGGTCTTACAATGTTTCAAATGTTTGAAATTTAATCACTCTGCTAAAGTGTGTAGAAACATCCAAATGTGTTCATCGTGTGCTGGTCAACATTCTTACAAGGAGTGTGACGTCGAAGAAATTGTTTGCATTAACTGCAGTGGTAACCACTTGGCCATTTCAAGAGACTGCCCCATAAAAAAACAAAAAATTGAAGAATTAAGGAAGAAGTACAATCAGCAAAACTATGCCACTGTGGTGAGTTCTCCCCCACCCAAAAATGACCAAACATACCCACCACTTACGAATATAAACAATAATAAAGACCATTTTGATATTAACTTTATAGCTAATAATGAAATCATTATCAATGCCATTGTAAAGTCTCTTGTAGCTCTAGGCAATGACCGTGACAAAGCACCTTTGACTTCAAAGAAAATAAAGGATACATTTTTGGGTTACTTAATTTAATGGATAGTTATATACATATATGTCAGTATAATATACAAAGTTTACAGAGCAAAAAACCTTTATTACAAAAGTTACTAATTGAAAAAGATATTGATATTTGTCTCTTAAATGAAACCTGGCTTACAAATTCTTCCAATATTCCGAACTTTTCAAATTATAATTTTATTTACAAAAACTCTATAAATACACATAATGGTGTAGGTATTCTAGTTAAACATGGTTTGAAATATGATATTTTAAATACAAAGTTTCATGAAAGTATTCAGAATATAGCCATTAGCCTTAAAACACAATCAGGTGATATTTCTATTCTCTGTGTATATTGTCCACCTAATAGTAATAGATTTGAAGGTAATAAATTAAAAAACATTGTAAATAGATTGCCTAAACCTTGCATTATCATGGGTGATTTTAATGCACATCATATAGCCTTTGGTTGCCACAGTAACAATAATAGAGGCAATAGTTTGTTCAACATAATAGATGAATCTGAATTATGTATTTTAAATGATGGTACTCCAACTACATGTCCTTATCCTAATAGAAATGCTTCTGCCATAGATTTGTCACTTGTCAGCCCCTCCATAGCCCACTTATGTAATTGGCACGTCCAGGATGATCCCATGGGTAGCTATCACTATCCAATTTCCCTTCATTTAAACATCCAACCATCGCTGTTTGAATTTGGTCCTGTTGAAGAAAAATATCTCTATAGTAAAGCTGATTGGGTTAGATATTACTCACAGTCAGAGACATGTTTCTCTGAAATAGATATTGAATATGAAAATCCACTAGATATGTATAACAAATTTGTAAATATTTTAAATGACTTAAGAGAACTAACTATACCTAGGAAAAAGCGAAATGGTCAGCTTCAATTACATAAAAAACCAGTCCCTTGGTGGAATAAAAAATGTGATGATGCAATATGTAAATCAAGGCAGGCATTAAGGAATTACAAAATGAATCCATCTATTGATAACTTTATTGAATACAAAAAGGTAGATGCCCTCAAAAAACGAGTAATAAAAGAAGAAAGTAGGGAATCTTGGAAAAAACTATGCAATAGTTTTAACAGACTAACACCTATTTCTAGGATATGGCAGTATATAAAAAAGTTTAAAAGAATTGGTAGTCCTGATAATAAACATTTTGAAGATGGATGGATTCTAAGTTTTATTAACAATTTGTCTGATTCCACTGAAATCAATGAAAACAGAATTTTCAGCTTATTCCATATTGCTGAAGAAAATTCTTTAAATTCCTTTCTAAATCAACCATTTTCTTTTAATGAGTTTACTAAGTCACTACAAAGCAGGAAAGACACAACACCAGGACTTGATAATATACCATATATATTAGTTAAACATTTACATAATAATGCACAACAGATTTTATTGTATATATATAATAAATTGTGGCAATACTGTATAGTACCGGAATCTTGGAAAACTCAATGTGTCATTCCAGTTTTAAAGCCAAATAAACCACACAGTATTCCCTCTTCTTACAGACCAATATCATTATCATCCTGTTTAGGAAAATTATTTGAAAACATGCTCAAGTTACGTCTAGATTATTTCTCAGAAACCAATAATTTGATTCCTCCTATTCAGCATGGGTTTAGAAAAGGTAGAAGTTGCTCTGAGAGTTTTGTATCATTTATACAGGATATTAAAAATGTTAAACTAAGCCATTCTAACATGATCTGTGTTTTTTTGGACATTAAAGGTGCTTTTGATAATGTCAACATTGAGGAACTTGTTCAAGTTTTATGTGATATAGGTATGCCAAAAAAAATATTACAATGGCTTCACACCTTCTTAAATAACAGAACAGTCTATGTAAAATACAATAATAAATTACATGGTCCTAAAGTTGCTAATAAAGGAACAATGCAAGGAGCAACACTGTCTCCTTTATTGTATAATTTGTATACTTCAGAAATACTCAAATTTGTTAATACTGAAAATGTAAATATACTACAGTTTGCTGATGATCTACTCTTGTATAGCATTAATCAAGATTTGGATGTAGCCCAACAAAATGTCAATACTGCCTTAAAACAGTTACATTCTTATTATAACAATAAACTTAAGCTAGATATTAGTCCAGAAAAAAGTTCTGTTTTAGTCTTTAGTAGAAATAGAAATAATATAAAAATTTCATATGATAATATAGAAATTCCTGTTGTTAATGAACATAAATTTTTAGGTATCATTATAGACAACCAACTAAAATTTGATAAACACATAAATTATATAAGTGCAAAGGCTATGAGAGCAATAAATATTCTAAGACACTTAGCTGGAACATTTTGGGGTTCTGATCCTAAATCTATGAGCATGCTATACAAGAGTATAGTGAGAAGTCATTTTGACTATAGCTGTTTTGCATATATAAATGCTAGTAATACTCTTTTAAGAAAGTTGGATGTAATACAGAATATAGGCCTGAGATTAATTTGTGGAGCAATGCGTTCTACTCCCATCAACTCATTAGAAATTGAAACATGTGTACCTCCACTGTTCTTAAGGCGACTTCAATTGGCTGAGAAGTTTAGTCTTAAAATCTTGTCTTCCAGTAATCTCCTCATTGAAAAGCTGAATAGAATGTCTAATGTTTACCAATCAATGGCACATCCTCATATTACATTAGATAAACTTTTGGCAGGTCCTGAAATAGTTACAATATTTACACATGTTAAAAATAGCTGTCTAAACATACATAGATCTGAAATATGGCCTCTATATACATGTACATACAATAGTTTAATTAATGGTAGTAATAACTATCACTTAGATATTATTAGCAATAAAAAAGAGTTTCTTGAGTTTAAAAATAATAAAGCTGATCACTATTTTATATATACGGATGGGTCAAAAGATGACAATGTTAAATCAGCCTTCTATGACCCCAGAGCTAACTACACAAAGTGCATAAAATTAGACAGCCATTGTAGTATTTTCACAGCAGAAAGTTATGCTCTACAGCAAGCTTTAATTTATGCAAATAACCATGTAAATAATGTAAATATTGTACTAGTGTGTGATTCCAAAAGTGTATTATATTCTTTATCTTATGGTCTATCTTCATATAAAGTCAATTATATATTGTGTAACATAATTAAATTGATTGAACATCTTAATAGAAAAGGCATTAATGTAGAATTTGTATGGGTTCCCTCACACAGTGGCATAGAGGGGAACGAGATAGCTGACAGTCTTACACATATGGAACATGATGAAGATCATAGCAATATTCTGTTAGTGCCATTTACTGATTATTACGGGGTTTTTTAAGGAAAACGCAAGAATGCTTTGGAGATCGTACTGGGAACTGACATTACAGACTAAAGGCAAGTGGTATGCTGAAATACAGAGAAACTTACCCATCAAGCCTTGGTATGAAAAATCCAAGTCCTACTTGAATAGAAAATTTATCACAGCCTTATCCCGTATGCGTCTTGGTCATTGCC